CCCTGGAAGTGTTCAAGGTCAGGTTGGACGGGGCTCTGAGCAACCTGATCTAGCTGAAGATGTCCCTGCCCATGGCAGGGGGGGTGGACTAGGTGACCTTTAGAGGTCCCTTCCAACCCAAACTGTTCTATCATTCTATGATCCTATGATTCTGTGATCTCTGCCAAAACAAGATAGATATAAAAAATAAGACATTGAGTCAAATTAAAATCCTTGTGTCATTGAATACAATCCAATTCCCACTGCTCTTCAGTGTTCAGTGGAATGCACCTCTTTATATTTTTGCAAACTTCTGCATTTCACAAAGGAAATTAGTGATGAAAACAGCATAATTAATAGTACAATAGTAATTATCTCTTAGGTTTACAAGGTACCAAAGTAAATAAAAGCCCAGGCCTGAAATTAATTCCTTACTCTACCAAAATGCATGAGGATTGCTTTTTCCACCATTCCCTCACAATTTTTAAGTTAAACCCTTTAATTTTACTTATGATTATAGTTTTAGCCTTTCTAGTTGAGATTTGAATAGGGTCTTGAATTTGGTGGAAATCCAACCTTTTAGAGAACAGTAATCTTGAACTAGAAAAATGGAATCGTGTCATGGCACTTGATGTCACTGAAATATCAAGTCAAAGGAAAGAAGAGAGTAGGTTTTCAGTCTCTCCACTGAACAGAGCGTGTGGTGGATACAGAATAAAATTTATCAGAATTATCACAGCACACTCCCAGATGATAAATCATTACTGAGAATTTACTCTTTTGGAATATCTTTAACCTGAATTTCTAAGGAAATAATTACGCTATGTGAGGATCCATGCCTGTCCCTACCTCAACAGTAGTAAGCCCAATAGCCAATTGCAACCAAATCTGAAAAAGTGAGGAGGAAACAAAACAGTAAGTTCCTAAAAACTTTATAAAACGATGTGGTTCATTAAAAACAGGGACATTCTGCAGTGTAACCTGAATTGTTATCATAGGCCAGAGAACCCACAGGAGTATAAAAGAAAAAGAATTAGAGGCATTTCATGCATGTCTCAGCCTTGGGAAAATTCTCAGTCAGAGCTTGACCTGTTCAGATACCAAGGTCAGTCAATCTCATGATGCGAATGCACTGAGAACTAGATGTCTTTAGTTCCAGTGTTGATAGCATTTATTTTTTCTAAACAGTCTATTCCACAAAAAGTAATATAATTTTACTTTTATACAGATACAGAATGAAAATATGTGCTGAAGCATCAAAAGACTATGTGGAAACAGCTTTACTAGTCATAACTGCCCTCTTTTTCTCTAACATCTAAAGAACAGGCAAGGTTAGACGAGCAAAAAAGTACTGAGATCTGAACTCAGACATTGAACTTGGCAGAAATCCAACATAAATCATTAAGTGACCCACTGTCTGTCTTTACTGTTTTTCAAGGTAACCATTGATATTGGCTGATATTCCACCAACTTCTATTAAAACCCTCTCTTCAGCATATGTCTCCAAGCTCAGCCCTGTACCAAGGAGTCAATCAATTAAAACTTTCCTCCAGCTTAGAAAAATTAGGCTAGGCTTTGTCACAGAGTCTATTCAGTTCTCTCTTACACTGACCACTGATCTACAAGTGCAAATTGGTCTCTTGGTAGTGCTAGATACATTTTTCAAGTCCTGCAGTAATGGAAGACTAACATCACTGCACTAATATGAGTCAATTTATGTAGAATTTCCTTTTTATGGTGTCTTTAATATTCAAGCTAGAGCAAGGTAATGGCTTATCTTAAGGAATTTTTTCTAAGTGTGCATTTGGGCATTGTAGTTTATTACAAATCGCCAAGTCTTAGTCTACACCTGAATCTGCATTTTATGCCTGTAAGTTAGCAGAGGAAATCACACATTCTCTGAAGTAGTTGAAGGAATTAAAACTGTCTTTTTTTTTTTTTCAAAGAGAATTTTTTTTATTTCTCTTAACTGTGTAATTGTGTTACTCAAGTAGGCTCTTATGAGAGCTCTAAATGAGGATCACTTATTTAACAGTGATTGTCTTGGGCTCAGGGATTAGTGATGGTACCTGATAAGTGGCTGGCACAACTGAAGAAGAGTTAAAAGGATAAGAGCATGCCACTAAGGAGGGGGCTGGCAGAGGTGTACTTGCAACTTCCTTAACTCCTGGAGCAGCATTGATCACAGCTTTAAGGTGGATCTGCCTCAAATTCATCATCTTTGTGAGCTCTCACTGAAGCCTTTTAAGCTCAAAACCCCAAGTCTTGTTAAACTGTAAACTAGGACCCAACATTTTAAATAGAAACAACTGAACAATATTATGTCAGAGAGCAAAAATAAAAAAAGCTTTCTACACAAGCCCACTGTGTCCTTGCAGTCATTTCTTGGTACCCCAGCTGGGTCTCAGGCAGCTCAGTGATGCTCAGCAAGCTCTGCACTGTCCATCCTCCCAGTCCCTCAGCAGGGTTTCCTTTTGGCATTTTTGAGACCCTGCTGATCTGCTCCCCAGCTCCACATGGGATGCATTCTGCCAACATGCACACAGTGGTCCGATGTTACCCCAAGGGATGGAGCCGGCTCTTCATCCTGGGGCAAGGATCATACCTAAGCCAGTAACTCTCTTCAGGAATACATCCCACAAATTCATGTCACCTGTGGATGAAGGTGACCTCATACAATTAAATTAATGGTGTCCTTTCCAAGTCTATAGAGACTGGGGCATGCTCTGAAGTAATCAATCCTTTACCACCTTCCCTTTCATCCTGGTATTAAAAAAAAAAAAAAAAAAAAAGAGTCCCAAAGCCCTAATACAACTTCAACCAATTTATCTTTTACATTGTCAATTATAATTATTGTCCAATTGTCCAATTATAATTTATATTGACTATTTCAAAATGTGGATAAATGTCATGAAGAAAATATCTGATGGTTTTGGGGATGCAGAATTCTGTAACCTGGATAACTGGACTTAAAATGGAAAGTTTATTACTAACTGTTTGATATGGGCAAACTGCATTTTTATCTCTCAACAGCAGCAACCTTAATATATTTTGCAGCTTTGCCATTAAATACAGAGAGATGATTTTCCATCTAATTTCTAAAAGCGGTTTTGTGGAAGAAAATGGGTAATCAACATGGAGACTGTCTTTCTTCTGAAAGTGCTTTTAGTCTAACATAAATGACAGCTATTTAAAGGCAATCACTTGTGTTTTATATCTCACACAAAAACCAGCAGACACAGTACCCTGCCTTTGAGACAAAACACTGATACATGTGACAGAACATTTCAAGCAGTAATAATCAGAAGCCACATATTCAGCAGCATCCAGAAAACAACTGAAATATCCTCCATTAAAATCTGTAGCTTTTTTTGCTATTGTTGATCAGTCTTTAACTGCTATTATGTGGTATTATATTATGAATAACTAATTATCTGCATCAGACAGGTACAGGAGATGCAAATCACATTTGCTCTGCAGTATGTACACTGATAACTTACACATCTATTAAAAATAAAGTGGTTTTCAAAATATCACCCAGGAGGCATGTGTTCTGTTCAGTGACCTTTGGAAACTCTAGTCCAATGAATAACTAGTGATGCGCAAATAAGTTGAGAGACAGTAGATAAAAAGTGCCTATAACCTTATATGTTATCTGTTATGAGGATGACTATGATAAAAAGATATATTGCTCTTTCATAATTTGCCCAAGAGAGCAGCAAATCAATGAGAACATAAACTTGTATCCCTTTAAGTTGGACTGTTATGAAATTCATTATCCTGAACAATTAAAAATATAACATGCCGAAAAAGTGCAATGAATTGTATAATCTAAATATCTAATTTAATGGTAGTTTGCTACCTTACAGGCATTTGTTCACATGGCATCAGTCACATCTTGGTAAATCCGGCCTTGCACTCAAAACATTTTATGTAGAAAGAAGCCTAACTGTGTTTGCTTCAAGATGATAAAACTTCATATTACCAGAATGTTGGTAGAATATTGAAGGAATTCAGCAATGACAATCTTGCATCCGTTAGCAATCTTTGTAAGGACTACGATACATGACAAAGCTTAGACTTTCTTTCTCACAAAATATGCAGCCCAGCTGGTCTTGATCTTGTGGCAAAGAAATTCCACAGTCTGAAGAAAACAGTTATGTAACCAAAAGGCAAGGAGACCCCACCAAATTCAGGAAGATATGATGCAGCACAAATTTTAAATCTCTCTCTTTTTTTTGTGCTACTTTTAAACCACACTACCAACAAAGCCTTCACCGCCAGCCCTGATTATAGCTCGTGCAATTCAGACTTGCATAAACATATCCTTTACACATAGATATGGTCTACAGCTTTTATACAGTCATTTGAACATTAAAAATACTTTTGGAATTTTTGTTTTATAGTATAAGACTATGTCTTCTATTATCATGCACATATGCAAGGAAAGCAAGGAGGTTAAAAGAGAAAAGATTCCTCAATTCCAGTTCACAAACTAAAAGGGAGTTACAAAGTCACACAGGCTTTTCCCAATAATCAAACACCTAGTCGAGCACTGACATAGTTGTGGAAAAGAAAAGCATTCTGAATACTGGTCTGCAAGTAGCTACACCTGAAACTTCTTAAAAACATGAAAAGGTTATCCTGTTATATCACTCACATTTTCATAGTTTAGAATAAAGAGTGGACATCTTTATTCAGAATATAAATAATTTTATTCTTAACCACTTTTAATTTCATGAGTAATTGCATTATTTTTATTACAGATTATATTTTTTCCTATAAAAGAAGAATAAATTATACTTACCCTCTCCAAAGTAATTTCTTCAAATTCATATTCAATTTCTGTTCCATTGACCTAAAGAAAATAAAGTCAGAAAATTACTTAAATGCACATGGAAGGTAATTTGGTAGGGATACTGTACAGATATTCCAGTATGATCAGTTTACTGAAGCACATTTTTCAACATATAGGTGAGGCTATCTAAATTATAGCCTACTTAGCTCGCCTTTGTCTTGAATGGCATGTAATCAAGCCTATAAACTTGAAAACAGTAACAGTTCCGTATGTAAAACACTGAAATAATGGATAACTTACATAATATGACTGATGTTTGATATAGTGTGTTTGTGGACTTTGTGCAAATGTTTAAATAGTTTCCAAGGTAATAGTTTCATGTAAACAATAGAAGACCTGTTTCTAAAAATTATTCTCACAAATGGAAGACAGATTAATTATTCGTTGCCTTACAAGCTCCAATTTACGTTGCAATACAAAAGCAGACAGGAAATTCATAGTACTTATGTAAAAATCACTCACTGACACATATACTGAAATACATCTTGTTTACTGTATTAACCTAGGGCAAGAACATGACAGAGGACCTTTGCAATAGACAGCTGAATGGCAAAAAGGCACAGAATGTTAATGCAATTCTTACGCTGAGTTTCAGTGTCAAAATAAATTAAGCTACAAAATGTAGAGCACCAAAATGGATTGCACCGGACAAGAAATCTATCAGCTGAAGACATGACACTGATTTAAGCAGTATTCTGAAACCTTGTTCCAGTCTGACATGGATTTTTTCTGTCCCTCTAGGCAACTCACTTAACATCCCTTTCTTAGTTTCCTCATTTCTTAAATGGGTAGAGGACCACATCTGAGAAAGCTACAAAAGCTGACTATATTGTAAGTAAACTGAAGAGTAATGAAAATACTTCTGTTATTAAAATCTCAGAAGAATTTCAAAGTGTCCCTTAGCTACAGCTAGTCAGCAATTTTTTTATTTGACCAGAAAATATTGATTAATCAAAAAAATAATAGATATTGCCCATGAATTATGCCTTTTAGTTTTTGTGATGCTAGGATATTTCTTGGAAAATAGTTTTGCTTTAGTGTTTTACTTAATTTATACTTAATGAAAAAAAAATATTTTGTAAGAGCAAAACTGAAGTGAAGCATTAGGGTTGACCTAATCTTGGAGGAACAAATTCGTTATTTCTCAGAACAAGAACATTTATTACTGCTCCCCACTCCCAGCTGCTAATTTTCTATATTAGCCTTCTAACTGCAATCAGAAAACACTGTACACAAATCATTCTTTATCTAGTCAAACACCTTTCAAATGTAATTAGGTACTTCTCTTGTGAATATTATAACTAGGCACATGTATCTACCAAACAAAAGCTTCCTATAAAAGCCACCAACTATTTAATTTGTCTGCAGTTCAAGATCTGATAAACCATGAAATCATTCATAGAAATACAACCCCCAGAATCTGTGTTCAAAAAGAAAGAGGGAGAGGGAGAAAAGTCCAAACAAATAAACCATGCTTAACCATGAAATGAAAACACAGCATCAATGAATAAAATATTTAATACATACATAATATTTGTATTTTTAACATTACTACAATCTGGTAATCACACCACACTACACTAAAAACAGATATGAACAAAAATTTTACTATAGGATATTTTCCTGTTCTATGTTATCCCTTTAATGCTTTCCGCATACTCTTTTATTAATATAGGCAACTTGCTAGGTATGGACAGCTTTATAGCTATTCCATTTTTTGTCCTTTCTTGTCTAATGATAATGAAATCAAAGCTATCTATATGCCTCTGTTTTCATGAACTTCTCTTTTATCTTAGGTTGGTGGATAGCTCTGATCTATGTCTTCAATTCCTCAGTCTTGCTCTATAAAGCTGTCTTCGCTTCACTGCTTATAATCACTTTTCCTTTGCATTAAAAACTCGTTAGTGCAGCAAAATGGGAAAAAGAGGGACATGAGAAGTGAGCAAGCTCTGTATAAAGATGAAAGGAGAAAACACAAGCTGAATACTCAATTTGTATTTGCACACAAACAATATCTTGATTATGATCATCTGAGGGGTTCCTTTTATCATCCACAGCCACGATTCCAAAAAGGTCTTCAGTTCAAATTGCCATTAATCGCAGCAGAGATCCATTATCAGGTTCCATAGCAGCAGGGATGATATGAATTAAAAAGCTGATCTTGATCCAACTCCTTTTGTTATTTAAGCATATATATCTACATATGCAGTTCACTGCCCTGTTTTTCTTGCTGGTTGCTCAGAAGACCAATGCAGTTCTTTTGTAAAGGATCTAATAAGATACTGCACCTACCTGAGGCAGGTGGAATAATGATGTATGCAGTACCATTCATTGCTAGCACCACTTTATTTCATATTTAGACTCTCTGGCCGCGCCTACACTGCTAAATTAGAGTCAATTTTCAGCCAAGTCTCAGTGCTTAAGGCTGTTTCTGTCTGGAGCCTGCTGGAAACAAATAGCCAAGGAGTGAGCCAACAGTTAAGCAGGAGGAGAATCATGGCTCCAGCGCTGGAACTGGCTTGTTGGTCCTCTCATTTAGTAGCATACGGACATACCCTCTGTTTTTGTCCATTTTAACTTGACAGTCTCTGGCCTGACAAAGCACCTAAACAGACTGTCTGAACCTGCAACTTCCATTTCTTTCAAGTAGTGGGAACCTGTTCCTATCTCTCTCTTTACATGAGTTTTCTGAATTCTGCTTTTATATCAGATTGCAGCAAGAACACACAGCAAAATTTACTAAGGCCTCTATGATTTTAAATAGCTATGAAAAAATCCAAACCTTTTCATATGGTTTTCTCTTGTTCTACACAGCCAAAGAAACCATCAGCATTTATGTGTCCATTTGGGAATATTCTTTCGCATTATTCAGGTGTGCAAGGTTGACAACAGATATCTTTAATCCCAACTAAATTTTTATATTTATAATGATGAAATGTGAGGTAGTCATCTAGCTCAGTGAAAAGAAGCAGGCACTTCTAGGTCTTAATTAATTTCATCTACACTAGAAATCTCAGATAGGTTAGATGAATTGTGCCCCTGAGGTTTCCTTTCACTGAGTACAAACAGAGCCTAAAAAAGATGTTTAAAGTTTGGTGAGCACTTGCCTTAAATCAGTTTTCTCTGCATTACTCCTAACTCTAGACTGGTAACAAAGTTGTTCTGCTTAAGGGATGCAGTATGCCTTTCAGAATTATATACCAGTGAAAGGCCAGATCTCTGGTTTAGCAGCTTTTCTGACTGCTTTTTTGGGCTTGTCTGCACCTGTAACTGGCAGCACATGCACAGCGTGATATCCAGCACCTGCTCCCACAAGCCCAACTCTAGTAGTGATTAGAGTTATATACTAGTTTGTGAGAAACCTGAAATAAAGCCAGCACACAGAACACCAAAATAAGGACCTGACAAACTCAGATTTGTTTGTTCCTTTACGTGAAGAATTTTACTCTGACTTTCCAGGAAGTTCCTCTTGTTTAGTGCAGTTTAAGGATGACATAAACAGCTGAAGTAGTCCTTTAATGAAAATCAGTTCTACAGATTATGATAGATTCCCAAAATCTTTGAGAATAACATTCTGTTGGGTTTTTAATTTTCATGTACTCTGTCACTTTGTTAAGACTTTTATGGAGAAGTTTTTTTCTCATAATAATAATTCGATGCTCTTTTTATACTTCTGCAATTATTTGATGCGATAGACCTGCTTACACTCAAACAAATAAGTGTTGCCTAATTCTTTCTTGCTAGTCTTCTACACATCTACCACTGCATCCACCACTCAATACAATAAAGAGATCATCATATGAATTTAATGATAAGAACTGTATTACAATAGTGGCCACAGCATCAAAACACTGACAATTTATACAACTGTAATATTTTGAGACCACTGCAGCTATTCTTTCTAATAAAATTGATGTCATTAGAGCTGTTTGTTATGTTTAGTCTTATTTTCAAGAAGACTGTTTTGCCTAAAAATTACAACATCTGTAGACTTTTATTACAAACAAAACCGCTTTTAATTATATTCAATTGGATATTGTTTTTCAGCTGTCTTCAAGAAAGAAGACTGCTTCTTCTACTTTTATTATCATATGCATAGGAAGATAACTACCCTGCCACTGATTTTCACTCAATATGAAAATTTGATTCTTTTGGCTGTATGGTTTGACCAGTTGCCTAACCACCCAAGCCTCACTGGAATACAGGCTTGCCAAATTCTTGTTGTACAAGTAACCCTAGGGCATGTTTGTCCTTTAAAAATTTCCAATTTACTGCATAATTAAGACAGGACATTTTACATTTCAGAAACGTCAAAGCCATTTGGGTAATTTAACAAGTATAGGATTTAAATAGCCTTTCATGATTTCTGTTTTATCAGCCAGACCAAAGAGCAATCTTTATTTAGCCCTTTGCCACCTCCAGATTTAGATTATTTCTTCATTAATTGTCAAAGCTTCCTTATTGTTTCAAGAAACCTGCTGATGTACTTTAGATATTGTTTTCTAAAAGCATTAATAGTTTCCTTTCACACTGCATATAAACATACAGAAAACAGCCTCCTGTGCTCTCTGATTACAAAGATGGTGATTTTGTGTTTCCAAATTGTCCTAAAGAGGCTGCCAGAAAGTTTTTCATGTTAATATTCTTTATCTAAGTGAGCCAGTGCATTTTATGGGATTTTTATACAAAATACCCCACATCTATTTTTAATCACAGTGCATAATTAAACCCACTTCCTTCTTTTCACCCATATTTCCTTTAGGAAACAAGGACAATATGTTAAGCTCTTTGAATGAAAATTTACCATAACCTAAAACTTTCTTGTCATAATACGACTGTTCTGGTGTGAAGAATGAAGAGTGAAAGACTACATGGTTTTGAAAGAAATTTATACTTTATCAGGAATAGGTCTTACAGTATACGTGCAACTGATTTGTGGATCCTTCCACAGATGCCTACAGAGCCCTCGACCACCAGTCATTGTACATCCTTTAGGGAAG